TGCTATCATAACGGTTTCAACTGCTTATTTCGTTATTTTCATTTACTTTGGGATAGAGTTTGGGGTGGGGGTGGGGGGTGGGGAGGGGGGCTCAAGCCCGTGAGCCGTTCACTACCCACCGCCACTGCTCAGTACCTAGTTTTGAGAAATTCGACGTAAAAAATGTTGAGTTTCTCAACATGTTAAGCTTTTAAAAATGCAATTCTTTGAGTGCCTTGATAATGACCCGAATAATCTTACAATTTTGATAGAGCAGATAGAACATTTTGTTTCTGATTTCAAGGTCTTGGTAACTCAAAAGGCAAAAATGTCAGATAAAACGTTGTAGTTCTAAGGAAGCGGACTTGCAGGTCCTACTTCTTCCATTTCTTTTCAAGGTTTCCCTCTGTCTGCCTCGCTTTTTCTCAACAATAAATGGACGTTATTGTGTCAAAATGATCCTCTTCTTTCAATCTCAAACAGACCCTTGAAGGATCTCCGTGTTAACCCATATAGATGCAGTTTGGATATAAGGGTCAGGATGACAATTAATCTCAGTATCTCAGTAGTAGATAAACGCAATCAGAAGCAGAAACTGTCAACACGAAATATGCAAGTGCCATTCTGACTCATTGTTATAACAGATAGACTAGGGTATTTGGAGCGAGCCACTGATTGTTTCTATAAGTGGGGTAAAATTCTCAGTAGTAAATTTCGACCTGCAAATAATTTTGACTCAGGACGCAAATCAGTTGGGACCGCTTCGTGACCTCACGGGTGGTCTCACAAAAAGTTGATTTAAAAAATGTCTAAATTTGATTTTTTTAAACCCTACTTGTAGCATATAAAAATGTTCAGAATAAAAAAAAAGCTATTCAATGACTCCCGACAAAAGGGTTGAAATGTAAGTGGTTAGAAAAAGGAGGAGAGAGGAAAGTGATGCTGAGGAATTAGAGACAGCGAAAGATCTTGTCAGTTTGTTAGTGTTTGAGCGCTTAATCAGCTGCTGGCACTGTATGCTTCCCGGGAAGCTGAGAATGTTTCGGAGTATTCTATGGTCTGCTGGGTAATCATATAGTGTAAAGCGCATAAGGGCCTGCTGTTGAGCGGGGATATGCGCTATAGAATGAGCCGGAACAATAGCTCTAGATAGAGCCGCTCAGAGCGGCCTTGGGTCAAAACACAAGAGACAGTCAGCCGCTGTGAGTCTAGCAACGCTGCGCGCTGAATCCTTTAACGTCATCACTTTTGCAGTAATACAGCCAGCAGTACAAAATATCCTATCTGGTCAGGTGACCGGAACGAATAATTCTCACTGTCGCATTATTGCGCCAAGTGACTGCAAAGTGTTAAAGATGACTGCCATCGTGTCGATGTGAACGTCTCTTCTTTAAACTAACTCAAAGATTATAGTTGCTGTTGTGAAGCCAAGCTTGAAATAACGGTTCTAGCCATAGATAAGCGCAGTCCGAGACAGAATTGTAAACCGCATGTTGGTATTGGGATGTAATGCACATACCATCCTTGTCTTCACAGATGGACTGCAGATGCAGTACGTGAGGATGCCACTATAGCTTGTTCACTTTCGTCTGTGCGCAGTCCAAAAAAAAAACACAAAAAAAAACCAACAACCCCAAAGCAAAACAACCCCCCCCAAAAAAAAAAATGTAGTTCATTTACCAATAAGTCAATGAGAACGTAACGTTGCACGACACCCCTGAAAGCAAAAATATAAAAGAAAAAAATCTTGATCCCATAATAAAAGGGTTTCTTTATTTGGCCCTTTGTTAAACACAGACCTTTGTATGACGTACACATAGAGGATCACTATAATAAATGATTGACAGTAACCAAGACTACCAATTGCTCATTTAGATACAGCGACACCACCCTGCTCCCAGATTTCAGTGGAACCTTGTAGATGTCCTCCCGACTCCCGACACCGTCATGACGTCTCTGCGTGAGTCTCGAAAAGTGTTCACCTCTTTGTTGGACAAATGGACCGTTTTCCATAGGTGTTAAAATGCGGTGTTGATTTAGAATGGGTACACTTAATTGATGTTTGAGGTATGTTCAGTTAACCCCCATTTTTGACCCGCTTTAGGCTAACGTTAAAGGAAACGTGTCGAAACCTTAGTTTTCAGATACCTTCATTCATAGGCTTCTAGATTCTGACAGTCATCCAACTTTTACACCCGCATGCAAAGACCTGAGGAGATTAAAAAGTGAGATATGCTTTTATCTTTTTTAACTGCGGACAGACGAGAGAGAGGACGCTTTAGTGGGTCTTGTGTCTTTACAATCCCTTGGTTGTTTCTGTTAGTCTGTGGGTCTTACTTCAACCCAGCGCTGAGGTATGTGTCGATCTGGGTCTCTTCAAACTTAAACAGACCAATTAGCTGCTTTAAATAACCTATTTTGGTATGTGTTTTACGGTGCTCGCAACTGCATAAAGCCATTTGAGCGCTCGGGAAACGCAAAACATATTCAGATGGTAGGAACTTTTGAATTTTGTCCCGGTGGCGGCTGAAGCCTACTCTTATCGATTGTGGACCACCAAGGGATCTTTCACGTGCGCAACTTGCACACAGGACCTCCGAGAATTTTCGCCCTTGTCCGAGACGGCTAGGTGTATATCTTTCAGGATTGTGACTGAAAGACAGCTGTAAAAAAGAGCCAAGGCGTAGCAGTAGAAAGGCTGCAGAAAGAGTTAGGAGTCCAGAGGAGGAGGCAAAGGAGGTGAAGGGGTTGGGGCAGAAAGAGGAGGCGAAAGCAGACAAGAGAGCATTACAAGAGAGCAGGGAAGGAGGTCAAAGGAGACAATTTTAGAGAAGCAAATGTTTCTGTCGCTACCCGGATTCGAACCCGGGACCTTTGAATAAGAGGCGAACACATTAAGCTCTAGGCCACGACAGCCCCACTCAAAGTGATTAATTTCAATAGTAATTGGGAAGTAAAGCTCAATATAACACTTCGTTAGAATAATATTATGTAGGAGCATTCTAACTTCCTGTAAACAGAACGTTCAACAACCAGCAGATTTTGGAATAAAAATGTGTGCACATACTATTGTCACCAGAGTTAGGTTATCCTTCTTTTGTTACTGTTTGTTTTGTTGGTTATTTGTGTGTTTTTTGTGTTTTGTTTGTTTGCTTGTTTGTTTGTTTGTTTGTTTGTTTGCTTGTTTGTTTGTTTGTTTGTTTGTTTGTTTGTTTTGTCCCGTGTCCTGATTTTGGTGCCGATCCGATGTTTGTAGTTACGCGAAAATGTGTTCACATGGGGCAAATTGTTCTGTTTCAAGAAGAAAAAAACATGAAAAACACAAAAAGTAAAAGAGGAATTGTTTAGTTGGTGAAGATGATGATGATGATGATGATGAGTATTAATTTTATTTGTTGTTTGTTCTTTTTTAGCACTAAATGAGCGTGATCGTGTAGAAAGATGTACTTCTCTTTACTCACGACACAAGCAGACACCCAAACACTGTCTTGTTCCACCTGCCTGTTCAATGAACTTAAACATCGCAGCGGCAGTGTCAAAGGGAAGCTCAAGATAACGATCATTCCGGCCTCAGATAAGCACAGTCATAAACAGAAACTGTCAACAAGAAGCTGTTGTTGTAATATCCACGTACTAGTACCAAAGATAGTATTTGCTAGTACTATTGTCTCCAGAAATAGGTTAACCTACCATTGTTTTAGGAAATAAGACTCCAGCAGCAATCCGTGCCAGCCACCAGCGCCTATCCGAGTGTCCCAGAACCGAGCCGTTGTGGGAATTTTAAGGAGCGTGCGTGTGCGTGTGTGTGGGCTTACGTCTATCTGTTCAAGAGATCGTTGGAAGGGTTGAGAGACAGATCTGTAACAATGGTTGGGTTGTCGTGTCCTTTTCAGGGCATCAGCCCAATTAGTGTCGCTATATTGTAGGAGGGGGGAGGGGATCGAGCAACTAAATATACATGTGTGTGGCTATACTGCGGAGGTATCAGGCAACTAAATACAGTGAAGTCCGATTAGTAAGAGTTTTACGGCGCTTGCAACTGCAGAGGGTCATATTACAAGGGCACATCAGAGAAGTCCAGTAAAATAAAAATGTGCGAAACCTCCAGATTTTCTTCGGTATAGCTGGGTGTTTGGTATAGAGCAACCTGGTTGCTGTAAAAAGAAAATTAATAAAATCCTGGATTTATATTTTTTCGGTTCATCGCTGTCTTCGGTTTATACGGTTTCCACTGTAAATCAGTATCGTCATGTTCACAATCATATTCACAATCTGTCTCCTCTCCTCCCCCCTCCCCC